CAAGAGCAGCAGCATCAGAAGCAGCAGCAGCAATAGCAGCAGCGACAGTCGCACGAGTGCATCAGCAATGGTGGAAAACTGCGACTTCAACCGCTCCAGAAGTTTCTGCTGCTGCTGCTCCCGTGCTGCTTCTGCTTCTGCTGCTGCTGCAGTGCTGCGCTTCTGTCGTTTGTTGCTGGCCGCTTCTGCTGCTGTTGCTGCTGCTGCTGCTGCTGTGTCGATCTGTCCCTGGGGTGCTGCGTTTTCCATCTCGTCGTGCTGCTGCTGCTGCTGCTGCTGCTGCTGCTGCTGCTGCTGCTCCTGCTGCTGCTTCAAGTCCCGCAGCTGCTGCAAGGTGTCTAAGGCTTGCTGCTGCAGCAGCAGCAGCCCCCCTGTCTGTTGCTCGTACAGTGCAAGAAGGCTTTCGACTGCAGCAATCACGGCGCCACAAGCTGCAGCAGCAGCAGCAGCACCAGCAGGAGCAGCAGCAGCACCGTGCTTAAAGGTCGGAAGTGAAAACCGCCAGGATACGCAGCAAAAGGAAGCACAGCAGCAGCAGCAGCAGCAACAGCAACGAAATAGTGGATGTGGGGCTTACAGGGAATGGAGGGAAGTTGCTGCTGCTGTTGCTGCTGCTGCTCGGCGTGCTGCGCTGCAGCAGCAGCAGCAACCATGACTCTCATGTGGAGGATGGACATTGCTGCTTCAGCTGCATGCGCCAGCGTTGCTGCTGTGCTGCTGCTGCTGCTGCTGCTGCTGCTGCAGAACCTCGCGAAAGCCACAAGTCTCCCTGCTGCTGCAGTAACAGCGGCGTTAGCTGCTGATGCTTTTGCTGCTGCTGCTGCTGTTGTTAGCTGCAGATTAACCTGCAGCTGCTCCACTGCTGCTGCTGCTGCTGCTGCACCGTCGGGAAGCACCAGCACCTCAGCCTTGAGAGCTGCTGCTGCTTCTGCGAAAGCAGCAGCAAGTGCAGCACCCAAGTTTGCTGCTTCTGCTGCAGCAGCAGCAGGCAGCAGCAGCAGGAAGTTGCCTAGACAACCCAGCGCAGCCTCTTCAGCAGCAAGACACAAAGAACCTGAAGTTGCTGCTTTCTGCAGCAGCAGCAGCAGCTCTGCAGTTGCTGTTGGGCTGCTGCTGCTGTTGCACACGAGGAGGGCGCAGCTGCAAGCCCCCGCTCCATTTTCGTGCTGCTGCTGCTGCTGCTTGTGCCGCTGCTGCTGCTGCTGCTGCAGCTGCTGCAGCAGCAAAGAAGAAGCAGGCAAAGCTGCCATGGCTAGATGAGCTCCGAAGCAAGGCGGAGGCACTGTTGCCCAGAAGACCATCGTAAACAGCAGCACTTGCTGCTGCTGCTGCTGTTGCTGCTGCTGCTGGCACTTGTCCATCTGCAGCACAAAGACAGCAACATTCGGCCCTCGGACACAACAGAAAGTAGCAGCAGCAGCTACAGCAGC